GTTAAACAATAATCCAGTTTCATTCTCTTACATGTAGCTGTCCAGTTTTGCCAACACCAGCTGTTGAAGAGGCTGTCATTTCCCCATTGTATGCCCATGGCTCCTTTATCATAAAGTAATTGACCATATATGATTGGGTTCATATCAAGGCTCTCTAGTCTGTTCCATTGGTCTATGAGTTTGTTCTTGTGCCAGTACAAAATTGTCTTCATTACTTTGGCTTTGTAGTAGAGTTTGAAGTTGGGGGGCATAATCCCCCAGCTTTATTCTTCCCTCTCAGGATTGCTTTGGCTATTTAGGGTCTTTTGTGGTTCCATATAAATTTTAGAATGATTTTCTCTAGTTCATTGAAGAATGCTGTTGGTATTTGGATAGCAATTGCATTGAATCTGTAGATTGCTTTAGGCAGGATGGCCATTTTGACAATATTATTTCTTCCTATCCATGAGCACAGGATGTGTTTCCATTCATTGGTATGTTCTTTAATTTCTCTCATGACTGTCTTGTAGTTTTCAGAGTATAGGTCTTTCACTTCCTTGGTTAGGTTTATTCCTAGGTATTTTATTCTTTTTGATGCAACTGTGAATGGAATTGTTTTCCTGATTTCTCTTTCTGCTAGTTCATTGTTAGTGTATAGGAATGCAACAGATTTCTGTGTATTAATTTTGTATCCTGCAACTTTGCTGAATTCAGATATTAGATCTAGTAGTTTTGGAGTGGATTCTTTTGGGTTTTTTATGTACAATATAATGTCATCTGCAAACAGGGACAGTTTAACTTCTTCCTTACCATTCTGGATGCCTTTTATTTCTTTGTGTTGTCTGATTGCTGTGGTGAGGGCCTCCAGAACTACGCTGAATAAAAGTAGGGAGAGTGGGCATCCTTGTCTTGTACCCAATCTTAAAGGAAAGCTTTCAGCTTCTCACTGTTAAGTATGATGTTGGCTGTGGGTTTGTCATATATGGCCTTTATTATGTTGAGGTACTTACCTTCCATATCCATTTTGTTGAGAGTTTTTATCATGAATGGATGTTGAGTTTTGTTGAATGCTTTTTCAGCATCTATCGAGATAATTTGGTTTTTCTCCTTCATTTTGTTGATGTGGTGTATAATGTTGATAGATTTTTTAATATTGTACCATCCTTACATCCCTGGAATAAATCCTACTTGATGATGATCGATGATCTTTTTAATGTATTTTTGAATTTGATTTGCTAATATTTTGTTGAGGATTTTTGCATCTACGTTCATCACAGATGTTGGTCTGTAAATTTCTTTTTTCATGGTGTCTTTGCCTGGTTTTGGTATTAGGGTGATGCTGGCCTCATGCAATGCATTTGGAAGTATTCTCTCCCCATCTTGTTTTTGGAAAACTTCAAGGAGGATGGGTATTAGGTCTTCACTAAATGTTTGATAAAATTCAGTGGTGAAGCCATCTGGTCCAGGGATTTTGTTCTAAGGTAGTCTTTTGACTACCAGTTCATTGTCATTGCTCATAATTGGTCTGTTCAGATTTTCTGTTTCTGGGTCAGCCTTGGAAGGATGTATTTTTCTAAAAAGTCCATTTATTTTAGGTATCCCATTTTCTAGCACATAATTTTTCATAGTATTCTTTAATAATTCTTTGTATTTCCCTGGAATCCATAGTGATTTTTCCTTTCTCATTTCTGATTCTGTTTATGTGTATAGACTTTTTTTCTTGATAAGTCTGGCTAGGGGTTTATCTATTTTGTTTATTTTCTCAAAGAAACAGCTCTTGCTTTCATTGATTCTTTCTATTGTTTTATTCTTCTTGGTTTTATTTATTTATGTTCTCATCTTTATTATGTCCTTTCTTCTACTGACTTTGGGCCTCATTTGTGGTTCTTTTTCTAGTTTCATTAATTGTGAGTTTAGACTGTTCATATGGGATTGTTCTTTCCTGAGATAGGCCTGTATTGCAATATACTTCCCTCTTAGCATGGGCTTCGCTGCATCCCACAGATTTTGTGGTGTTGGATTATTGTCATTTGTCTCTATATATGCTTGATCTCTGTTTTTATTTGGTCATTGATCCATTTATTATTTAGGAGCATGTTGTTAAGGCTCCATGTGTTTGTGAGATTTTTTAATTTTCTTTGTGTAATTTATTTCTAGTTTCTTACCTTTGTTGTCTGAGCACCTGGTAAGCTGGTTGGTACAGTTTCAGTCTTTTTGAGTTTACTGAGGTTCTTTTTGTGGCCTAGTATATGATCTATTCTTGAAAATGTTCGTTGTGCACTTGAGAAGAATGTGTGTTCTGCTTTTGGGTGGAGTGTTCTGTATATGTCTGTTATGTCCATCTGTTCTAATATGTTTAGTGACTCTGTCTCCTTACTTATTTTCTGTCTGGTTCATCTGTACTTTGGATTGAGTGGTGTGTTGAACTCTCCTAATATGAATGCATTGTATCCTATTTCCCCCTTTAATTGTGTTATTATTTGTTTTACATATGTAGGTGTTCCTGTGTTCAGTGCATAGGCATTCATAATGATTATATCCTCTTTTGGACTGACCCCTTTATCATTACGTAATGTCCTTCTTTTTCTCTTGTGACTTCCTTTGTTTCGAAGTCTATTTTGTCTGAAACAAGTACTGCAACTCCTGCTTTTTTCTCCCTATTAGTTGCATGAAATATCTTTTTTCCATCCCTTTACTTTCAGTCTGTATGTTTTTGGGTTTGAACTGGGTTCCTTATAGGCAGCATATAGATGGGTCTCGTTTTTTATTAGAGGAGGTTTTTATACAGATACAGAATAGGTATCATATTCTGTACTCTTTGTGTGTCTCCCTTGACTGAGTTTGGGGGTAGTTAATTTGATTTTCACATCTACTTAGTAATTAATTGTTTTACTTTCTTTACTGGGGTTTTATTTCCTCTGGTGACAGCTATTTAGCTTTAGGAATGCTTCCATCTGGAGCAGTCTGTCCAAAATACACTGTAGAGATGGTTTGTGGGAGGTAAATTCTCTCAGCTTTTGCTTATCTGGAAATTGTTTAATCCCTCCTTCAAATTTAAATGTTTATCTTGCTGGGTAGAGTATTCTTGGTTCAAGGCCCTTCTGCTTCACTGCATTAAATATACCATGCCACTCCCTTCTGGCCTGTAAGTTTTCTGTTGAGAAGTCTGATGATAGCCTAATAGGTTTTCCTTTCCATGTAATCTTTTTTCTCTCTCTGGCTGCTTTTCAAAGACTGTCCTTATCCTTGATCTTTGCCATTTTAATTATTACATGTCTTGGTGTTGTCTTCCTTGGTTCTCATGTGTTGGGAGATCTGTGTACCTCCATAGCCTGCGAGACTAGAGACTATCTCCTTCCCCTGATTGGGAAAGTTTTCAGCAATTACCTACTCAAAGACACTTTCTACCCCTTTTTCTCTTCTTCTGGTACCCCTATAATGCAAATATTGTTCGTTTGGATTAGTCACACAGTTCTCTCAATATTCTTTCATTCCTTGAGATCCTTTTTTCTTTTTGTGCCTCAGCTTCTTTGTATTCCTGTTCTCTAATTTCTATTCCATTTACTGTCTACTCTACTACATCTAATCTGCTTTAAATCCCTCCATTGTGTGTTTCATTCAGATATTGAATTCCTTAATGATTGAATCTCAGTCCTGACTTCATCCCTGAGCTCTTGAATATATTTCTGTATCTCCATGAGTATGTTTATGATTTTTATTTTGAAATCTCTTTCAGGAAGATTAATGAGTTCGGTTTCACTTGGCCGTTTTTCTGGTGTTTATGGGATTTTGGTTTGAACCAGGTTCTTTGGACATTTCATATTTGTATGTGGTACCCTCTAGTGCCCAGAAACTCTACTCTCTGGTGCTGCTCAGCCCCTGGAGCAATATCAAGGGTGGGTTCTGGTGCCTGGGGGGAGGAAAGAGTTATTTCCGGCTTTCTGGATGCTGTGCCTGTCTCCATTGCCAGAACCAGTGGCCCAGGCACACAGGTGTAAGCCTGTATGCTTTGTGTTTGTAGCTCCCCTACCTGGGGCCTCCCTCTGGCTGGCCTGATGCCAGGACAGGAGCTACTGGTTTGTGAGCTGGGGCCAGCCGGCCAGGAGGAAGGTACAACAGGGTGCATAGCCAGCCAGGGGGATGGAGCACCTGAAGCTCCTGGAATTTCCCAACCTGCTGGGCAGAGTGCACTTGGACAATTTTGTCCACCTGTCTTTTCTCCTGTGCAGCAAGCTCTATGCAATCCATGCTCCTTTAGCAGCCCTGTTGCTGTTAAGGGTCAGACTGCCCACCTTTCTTTTGACCCAGAGCAGCCTGATGTGGATCCCTGTTTTCCACAAGCAGCTGGAATCTCAGTCTCTCCAAGTATTCCACCTGCTATGCTTTCCAACCCCACTAATCTCTAGAGCACCATGCAATGTAGGTTCGTGCTCCCAGGGCAGATCTCCAGGGCTGGGAGTTCAGCAGTCCTAGGCCTCTACCCACTCCCTGCTCTTTCTCTTCCTCCTGCTGGTGAGCTGGGGTGGGGGAAGGTCTTGGATCTCTCCAGATCACAGCTTTGGTACGTTACCCTGATCCATGAGGTCTGTTCTTCTCTCCAGGTGTATGCAGTCTGGTGCAGCCTTCTTTCCTGTTGCTCTTTCAGGATTAGTTGTATTAACTATATTTGCATATTATATGTGGTTTTGGGAGGTGGCCTCTGTGTCATCTCTCCACCATCTTTAATCATCATCCTTGTAGCAATATTGAATAGTATGTGCTTTAATGTGCAAACAGCCCATTACGCAGTTTCATCCAGTAACAAAGTAATTGTAGATTTTCTGCAGTAGTAAACAAATGGGAATAGGATCTCATTTTGATCCTGTTTTTCTATATGTATCAGCATGGCTGTTGTGTTAAATTCTTATCTCTTTTCCTGTTCTAGCAAAATCCTTTATATGACACAGAAAGATGCAAGGTATTCCAGTGTGATCTAACTAAAGATGACCTTCTGGAACATGTGCCCATAGAGTCTGTGGATGTTGTCATGTTGATATTTGTGCTATCTGCTGTTCACCCTGATAAGATGCACCTTGTCTTGCAAAACATTTACAAGGTTAGTAATTTGGAGCCAAATTACTAAGTACAACTATTACATGCAACTGGGAAGAAACGTAAGTGACCCACAATAAGGATGCATCTCACCTGGGGCACCACTAGGGCAGAAGGGTTCATGATCTAGAAAGCGTGTAATTCTTACCTGTTCAGTGAGTCGTTAGGTTTCAGCCAGTCTGCTTCACACCGAGAAGAGCATTCAGCAAGTTGAAAAAGTAGATGTTAGGTAAGAGAGCTTCTATGTACATAGAGATATGTATTAACTCGGTTTTAATTGTTTTAAAAGAGTAATGAGGTAGAAATTTCAAAACCCTGGAAACCTATTTAGGGAATAATTATTCTTGCTTAAATACAATATTTTTAAAAATTTGGATGCTACCAAATTGCTCTTAGCTCTCTGCTTGTGCAGTTTTGTATGTAAGGTTTTTTTTTTTTTTCTGTTTACTTTCCATACCGCTAGTGTCTGAGCAAATGAGAACCGAGAATATGGAATAGGCATGGAATGTAAGATGGGTAAAGAGGGAAGAGGGCATCAGGGAAAAGCTGATAGGATTACCTGATTTGATGGTCCAGGTGAGGGTGAAGAATTATTAAAGATGGAGAACCAGAAACACAATGCTTCAAAACCTTTGGGATGCAGTAGAAGTAGTTCTAGGAGGGACGTTTATAGCAACACAGGTCTACCTCAGGAAACAAGAAAAATCTCAAAGAACCTAACTATACCTAAGGATCTAAAAAAAGAATAAACAAAGCCCAAAGTTAGTAGAGGGAAGGAAATAATAAAGATCAGAGTGAAAATAAGTAAAATAGAGACTGAAAAGCAATAGAAAAGATAACTACAACCTGGTTCTTTGAAAAGGTAAACAGATTGATAAATCTTTAGCCAGACTCATCAAGAAAAAAAGGACTCATGTAAAATCAAAATGAGACAGAAGGTAACAGCAGTTACCACAGAAGTATTATAATTATGAGATTACTATGAAAAATTATATGCCAACACATTGGACAATCTAGAAGAAATAGATAAATTCCTATAAACAACAGTCATCCAAGACTGATTCAGAATGAAATAGAAAATCTGAACAGATCAGTTACCAGTAATGAAAATGAAATGATCATCAAAAAACTCCCAACAAACAAAAACTAGGACCAGATGGCTTCAACAGGTGAATTCTACCAAATACTTAAAGAGGAGTTAAGCCTGTCCTTCTCAAACTATTCCAAAAAATAGAAAAGGAAGAAATGCTTCCAAATTTATTCTTAGAAGGCCAGCATTACCCTGATGCCAAAACCAAAATGACACTACAAAAAAAGAAAATTGCAGACCAATATCCTTGGTGAACTGATGTAAAAATCTCAGCAAAATCATAGCAAACCAAATGTAAAAATATACTGAAAGGATCATTCACCATGATCAAGTGGTTTTTATTCCAGAGACAAAAGGATGGTTCAACATTTGCAAATTAATTAATGTAACACACCACGTTAACAAAAGGAAGGATGAAAACCATATCATCATCTCAATAGATGCTAACAAAGCATTTGACAAAAACCAAGATTCATGTAAAAACAAAGTGGGTATAGAGTAAACATACCTCAAAATAATAAAGGCCATATACAACAGACTCACAGCTAACATACTCAATGACCAAAACTAAAGGCTTTTCTTCTAAGATGAGGAATAAGACATGGATATCCACTCTTGTACCACATAGTAATGCAAGACTTAAGCCAGAGTGATCAAACAAGAAAAAGAAAAGGCATCCAAATTGGTAAGGAAGAAGTAAAACTGTCACTATTTCCAGATGACATGGTACTATCCATAGAAAACCTAAAGACTCCACCAAAATCTGTTAGTTCTAATGAATGAATTGAGTGAAGGTGCAGGACATAAAATTAATGTACAATCTGTCTTTGCATTTGCGTATGCTAATGAGCTTACAGAAAGAGAAATCAGGAAAACAATTGCATTTATAATTGCATCAGAAATAAAAAAATACCTAGGAATAAATTTGCTAGAGAGGTGAAACCTGTACACTGAGAACTGTAAAACATGGGTGAAGGAAATTGAAGACGATACAAATATATATAAAGATATTTCATGCTCATAGACAGAATTAATATTGTTAAAATGGCTATACCCAAAGCAGTCTACAGATTTAATGTAATTCCTGTCAAAATACCAATGGCATTTTTCACAGACTATAAGGAAAATCCTAAAATTTGAATAGAACCACGAAACACCTTGAATATTCAAACTAATCTTGATAAACAGCAAAGCTGGAGGTAATGCTCCCTGGTTTCAAACTATACAAGGCTACAGTAATAAAAACAGTATGGTCATGATACAAAAACAGACACACAGATCAATGGAACAAAATTGAGAGTCAGAAATAAATCCATGCTTATATGGTCAATTAATCTATGAGAAAGAAACCAAGAGTATAGAATGGGGAAGGGATAGTATCTTCAGTAAGTGGTATTAAGAAAACTGAATTTAAATGCAAAAAAAAGAAACTGGACCACTGTCTTTACCATACAGAAAAATAAATAAATTCAAAATGGGTTAAAGACTAAGTATAAGACCTGAAACCATGAAACTCTAAAAGAAAACTCAAAAATTGTTGTAAGTAAATTTTTAAGTAGATGTCTACCCAGGCAAGGGAAACAAAACAAAAATAAACGAAGTGATACTACATCAAATTCAAAAGCTGCACAGTGAAGGAAACTTTCAACAAGATGTAAAGCAACCTACTAAATGTGGGAATATATTTGCAAATGATATATCTAATAAGTGATTAATATCCAAGATACGTAAAGACCTCATACAACTCAACATCAAAACAAATAAATTAAAATATGGCATAGTAACTGACTAGCCATTTTTCCAAAGAAGATATACAGATAGTGAGGTTGGGATTAAAGATGGCAGTGTAAGAGGTGAGACAGGCTTCCTCCTAAAACCGCATATAATACGAAAATAAAATTAACACAACTAATCCTGAAAGAGCAACAGGAAAGAGGGCTGTGCCAGACTGCATACACCTGGAGAAAAAAATAAACTTCACAGAACAGGGTTGGGAACTTTCATGATCTTCAGGAGCTCCAGCCCCCTGGCAGGCTACACAGCTCCAAGGCCCACCTCTGTGATACGCAGCCTGCTGCACCTTCCTCCCAGACAGCCCGCACCTTGCTCGCAAACTAGCAAACCCTGCCCTGGCATCAGGCCAGCCAGAGGGAAGCCCGGCCTTCAGCAGCTACAAACGCAAAGCATAGAGGCTTATACCTGTGTGCTCAGCCCACTGATTCTGGCAGTGGGGACAGGCATAGGAGCCGGGAAGCAGGAAACAGCTCTTTCCTCCCACCAGGCACCAATACTGCTTCCCTGTGACCCCTGACATTGCTTCAGTGACTGAGCAGCTCCAGAGAGTAGAGTTTCTGGGCACTAGAGGGTACCACATACAAATATGAAATGTCAAAGGAACCTGGTTCAAAGCAAAATTATAAATATACCAGAGAAAGAGTCAAATGAAATTGACATCATTAATCTTCCTGAAAGAGATTTCAAAATAAAAATCATAAGCATGATCATGGACATACAGAAAAATATTCAAGAGCTCAGGAATCAATTCCAGTTGGAGATCCAATCATTATCAAACATAGTATCAGAAATGAACATACAATGAAAGTTTTTTTTTTTTTTGAGAGGGTATCTCTCATATTTATTGATCAAATGGTTGTTAACAACAATAAAATTCTGTATGGGGGGTCAGTGCTCAATGCACAATCATTAATCCATCTCAAACCTAATTCTCATCAGTCTCCAATCTTCTGAAGCATAACGAACAGGTTCTTACATGGTGAACGAATTCTTACATAGTGAATAAGTTCTTACATGGTGAACAGTACAAGGGCATTCA